AACCCGGGGCCTTGGTGTTATCAGCACCGCACTCTCCCGAGTGAGCCACGGGCCAGGCCCTAAAGCCAACATTTTTGTGAGAAAAATCTTTTGCAGGAATCCCTAGAAATATGAATTCACTTCATTCATCACTGTGTAAGTGCAAGACATTTGATGTAAAACACTTATCAAAAATGTTCTTTACCGGGTTTAACAAAGTAAATCTTTTCAATAACTATCAGCTTCAACATCATCAAGGGGGAAAAACTGGTTATCAGCAAGAATAAAGAATTAGCAACACTCATTTAGAATAATCCAAATTAAACCAACTAGTTCACCATTATCTACTAGAAAGACCCTTGACAATCTAGCAACTTTTTAGACCCTCATCTCTCGCCATTTGCTCCCTGCACCCCAGACTATTTGCTGCTCCCCAAACTCATCATAATTCCTGCATGTCTCTATGCCTTTGTACCAGAGGTCCCTCTAGTCCCTCACCTGGTGAGTACTTACCAGTCCTGCAAAACTCCAAAAAAAGCGCAAAAGTCTCTTCCACTGTACAGGCGCCCTCAACTCCCCTATGCAAACTTCCAACACCTGGTAAACCAATCCTTACCACTCCGTATTGTTTTCACTCCTTAGGAGCGCAGGAAGGGCACTCTCCACTCAGCCCCCAGAGGACCAAGCAGGCAGAAACGTTCAATGAACGTGCGAAGAATTCATTCCCTACTTGGATTAAGGGACCCACTAGAACCCGGTCACATCTCAAGGAGACCAACGAGATCCTATCATTCTCCCCACCGGAGAATGAATACCAGAGGCACACCCAGAGCCCTGGAAAGCGAACAATGAATGAGCACAGCCGCCTTGTCTCTCGTGATGTCCAGACTCCTCTCTCTGGGTATCGACTAGCTCTGCAGAGCCTCGGCAACTGCAAAACTGAAGCGTCCTGACGGCTCTCACTTCACACAAAAGACAGCCCCGGCTCTTCATTCCCAAGCATCCCGAGGCCAATCCTCAGCATAAGCATCCCAAACCTTTCATTAGTAACCCACAGAGTCTGAAAACGAAGGCGAGGCCCCTATGCCTTTGTGGTGGGGCACTGACCCGTTTCCTCCTCTTCCCCGACTCCTCTCCTCTTCCCTAAAAGGGTGTCGCTTGAGTGAAGGACCCGATGTGAAGGTGCAAGTCCGGGTCCCCACTCCGCGGCCAAAGAGTGACAACAGATATGGGGCAGCTCTGGGCGGGTTTTCCCATGGCCAAAAAATGAGGAATGCGCACTCAGCACAGGGGTGGCACTGGCACGTCTCCACGAAACACAAGGAAATTTGGGGATGTGGGAGCTAGCAGGTTCGCCGGCCATGACACCGGGCCCAGGGGCCCCCGCCCGCCAGCGCAACCCGGGGTGACAGCGGCCTGGCCCGGGCCCTCCGCCCAGCAACCGCGGGGCCGCTCGCTCCTTCAGCGCCGCCCAGGCCCGGTAGCCAGCCACTCGGCCCCGCCGTCCGGCTCCGCCGGCATCCACGACCCGGCCCAGCCGCCTACCTAAGGGAGCCGGGCCGCCCCCGTGTCCTGTCGTCCGGCAGCGGCGTCTCGTCCGCCCCTCCTCCCCGCGGCGGGTGAGGGAAAGGGAGGCGGTCACATTCGGCGCGTCCCCAGCCCAGGGGACGGGGCCCCGGGCAGCCCCCTCATCATCGCAGTCGCGCTCCGCGCCTCAGGGCACACGCCCCAAAGCCCGGCTAGCTGGCCCTTTTCGGGCACGGGGAGAGCGGTGGACAAGCCTTCCCGCCTCAGGTTCGTTCTCCTCTTACTCCCGCCATCTAAGATGGCGGCCCACCGCCCTCGATGAAGAGACTCGGGCGGCCCCGGCAAACGAGCCCTCCACTCGACGCTCCTCCTCCCGACCTGCGGCGCCACCACTTCTGCGAGAGCCCGCCTGGCAGTCGACTTCAAACTCGGCTCGGGCATCCATCGCTCTGGCCTAAATTCAGGCCCCGCCTCCTGGGGCGTGGCCTCGCGGGGTCGGCGGCCGCCATTTCGGAGCTGAACGGGCGGTGAGGCGATGTTGACTGCCCCTCACGAGAGGCAGTCGGTAACCGGGAAGGACCGAGTCAGGCCGCCTCGGAGAGGCGTGAGGCTCAGAGGGGGACAGAAAGGCCCGCCGGCCAACATCACAAAACCCAGAGATAACCAGACGTGCCCGAGGACACACAGCGCGGAGCAGTGTCCAGCTTTGGCAGGTGCTCTCCGGAGTCGAGACTTCCAAGCCGCCTCATGGCTCCGCCACTCACCGGCCGTGTGGAAAAGTTCCCGAACCTTGTTAAGCCGCCGTTTCCTTATCTGTAAATTGAGGGTTCATCCCGCCGCTCCCCCCCCCCCCCCCCCCCC